CGGGCAGCAACATCATCATGAAGTCTCAACCTTCTGCTTAACTTCCGAAGTCACTTTCTCGCAAAAATTCTTTCGCACGTCTGCACGGGATTTTACCCTAAGGTTGCATGCATAGGTGGAGACTAAGGTTTCAAAGTTTCAGCTTTATAGTTTTTGTAGATCTCGAGATCGGAAAGCCCAAACAGAAGTTATGCACACTTTGGCACACAGATACCCACACACAACTCCTTAACAAAATGCTTTTTCTCATCACATACATAAAACCACGTAAATAAAAGCCGTTAATCCTAGTCGTAACAGTGGATCCTCTTACTGCTCGATCAGTCTTGGTAATCCCGGTAATATCAGCTAAACTGAAGTTTCATTCTTATCACCATGTTAAAGTCTCCGTTTTGTCAACTGCAGTTTGACAATATTTTTGCGATTTCAGTCAGTGTTTGCGAACAGGCTACACCAGGCACGTCTGGTAATGCCCGAGGTTTGAACGAAGTTGCAGAACTTGGTAAGTTTTCAGTACCATTTGTTTTTTTTTTCTTTTTTGGCTCTTTAACTTTTTGAAATAACTCACGTTGTTAAGCATGTTTAACACATTAGGCAGCGGAGTTGAACGAGGCTCGCAATATCATTATTTTATGAAATTTATTAGTTGTTAGAAACTGTTGCTTTATTTTCCCTCGCAGAAATCCCTTACGCGTGAAATGCATGAAGAAAAACGTAAGGGTTTGAAAAGAAAAACAGTGCACTCATTAAATTTATGGAGCTTCGTGACGCTTCGTTTTTGCACTCCGGTGACGTGAGTTTTGGAATTTCATTGCTCCACAGCTGGTTGCTCATCCATAATCTTTTTGTTTTTGCAAAATCATCTAACACACAATCCACACTAATGATGTCTGTAGTCAAAGTGGAGAACGGTACGACTGCTGAGAGCGAAGCGAACAAAGCCGAAGAGAGCGGTATCATCAAAAGATATATACTGCTGGAAAAATTAAGAGAGGCTGCTGAAAATGGCGTTTTCCTTGGTGAGATAATGATGCATGCTGCTGTGCTTTTAAGTTAGCTGCGTATTTAAGCCATCTATGGCTGATTTTGTGAAAGTGCAGTGAATTGTGCTCGAATTTCTCAGTGTGACTTGTTAGCGTTTCGAAGTGGTCGCAAGATGAAGTTTTTGACGCTGCTCATCATATCAGCTGTTTCTTTTCAAATTTATTCAGCTATTTAACATTTCCAGTGCAAGCTGTGACCTGTACTTGTCTTGACTACCTTATGCTCTGACCTGCAGAATCTTTCATTTGACGTCAGTTAAGAGAGTAGGCTGTTTTTTAAATCGTCGGGGCACAGTGAATAATATTTTCACTCCAATGCAGCCGCCAAGGCCTTCATGGAAACGTTTCGTGGTCAGTATTCTTTCCCGATGAGCGAACAGAAAGCGCAGTTTTTATGCATTTTTTGCAGCTATGCAATGCAGAAAACGCATATTGACGAGAGGTTGTCTCGAGTCCGGCAAAAGCTACGGGGCTGAAACTTTGGGGGTATAATCTACATGCACGTACGGGCC